GAAAAATGTACAGATATTTGAAGAAGATTGCATGAAAAATGTCTTTTTACTCTTCATCAGGCAAATGGTCTTAATAGCCCACTCTGTTTGGGTTCATTCTCCATCCAGAATATTAAAGGTTTTACAGGAAATGAAGGGAATAGACTTTGTCTTTATAGCTGATATGTTGCCTGTGTTGTTTTTCTACTTTTGACAGCAATTATCAAACTTTTTCTTTCATATCACCCTTTGGATGGTGAAACTAATTTAAGATTTTTGAACTATAAATATTCTGCATGTGCATTTGAGTCTTGCTACTTCAGACACTGTAAAAAGTGTCTGAACTTCATTTTCATACTATTTTCAACAAATATGCAGGTCTGGTATTTCATAATGGAAAAACATTGTGTTTCACTTATGTGTTTTAATTATTGTAGAAAGACAACAGAGCTCTATGGCACAGCTGAATAAGATAATCCGGGTTGGAGACTGACAGACATGAACTATGAGTAAAGGCGATTCATTGCTGGTTTTAGTCTCTGTATGGGGAGTGTTTAAAATACTATTACCAGTACCAGTATCTAATCACAGGGACTGTTTGATTTTATGTAGCTTCCTTTGCCCAGTATGTCTGTGCACCCTGTTTTGATATTCTTCAAATAAAGAGGAAGGCAGTAGTTGGCTTCCAAAAGTGGGAATGCTTTATGAACACTGTCAGAAAAATATTCACAACTTCGAACACCACACCCAACCCAACATGAAAGCAGAGCTGGGATGTTATAAACCTATAGCAGCCATCAAACTAGAGAATGCCCCGGCTTGCTAAACAGGCTTCACCAGTTTCACAGGGTCACATGTCCTATCCTGTTGCAGTCTTGCTTTACCATATAGTTTGTACAGTATGTACTGTACTGTACATTGTCAGTACACATCTCTGTCACCGCAGCATTCTGCACCGTCACACTATGACTAACCATGTGACAGTTCCAAGCAGGGAAAGACATTTGCATTCACAGATTATGTTAACTGTCTTTTAGATTTTTGGAGCGAATGTGTAAATGCTGCTGAAAAACATTTGATTTAGCCTGGTTTCACTGGTGCAGAGTTACAGTAAACTACAGCTTACATGCACTTGTACTTCTGTTTTTATGAGGACACTTATTGACATAATGCATTCCCTAGCCCCTTACCCTAACCTTAAGCACCAAAACTAAATGCCTAACTCTAACCTGAACCCTAAAACCAAGTCTTTAACCTAAGAAAAGGTGTTTCACAAAGTGAGGACCGGCCAAAATGTCCCCACTTTCCAAAAATATCCTCACTCTGTAGCAAAAGATACTTTTTTGGTCCTCACTATTTAGCAAGTACAAGAACACACAATGCTCTTTTAAGTATCCACAGTTGTTCCTGCAGTGTGTGTGTCTGTGTGTGTAGGTGGGTTTGTGGGTGTTTTTGTAAACTCAAAATCCATCCACATCCAAACTTGTAGAAGAGTTGAGAATAAAAAAATGTGCCCTAGATATGAATACAGTATGGCCTCATTTACTACCTGCAGCAAAATCCTACGACAGAGCCTCAGCCAAGAGACTGCGCTCTGTTACAAACACACAGGTGCATCAGTGTGTTAGGATTTTAGTAGTAAAAGACGAGTCAGCAGATTCAGAAACAACAAAAAACAACATTGTGAAAGTTTTTTGAGCCCTGGGTGATAACTTTTCTTTTCGGTTTCCTGCCTTGTCTCTGATGTCAAAGGTCATGGTCAGATACAGAAAGGCTGTTCACTTGTAATCCTGACCTAAAATTCCACACAGTCTACAGTGAGATGGTGCAGAAATACTTGTATAAAGTGTATGAACTTGCACACAATTACATAAGTATAAAAAGATGTTTAAAAGTGTTAAAATAAGTCTGCTTTTATTTGGGGGAAAAAGGTATTTAGCTATGCCGTTATCGCATATTTGTCATATTGTCAAATTCCCAATAAAAAACAAAACCCAACCCTACCCTATCAAGCCATTATATTCAGTAGGAATGGTGGCAGTGCTGTTTATCACAAAAAATGTAAAGGTAGTTTGTACAGCCTCCTGTTATGTCTTATTTAATCACAATCAGAAAGTAAATCTCATGAAAATTAAAGCTCTCTCTTTTGTGGTAAATGTCATTTTTATAGTAGAATCATTGCATTATTATTGAAGACCTACTTTATTAAAAAATGTTTTGTTTTGTTTTTTATAGCCCATAAATTTCATCCCTCCACTATACTGATTGTTGTAGGTGCCTAGGTTGTTACTAACAGGCTGTTTTCAGTTGACAGCAAATATGCTGGAGAGCACAGTATTTGGATGTAAAAGGACCCTGGAGCCTTTTCACACTATTTACTGTATATGTTTGTTGTTTAGCTAGTACTATGAGATGGTGTGAGACACGTAGCAGTGTTAACATCTCGTTAGCTATGATGGTTTCTGGTAGCAGCCGGTGCTGCGGTTACCGAGCTGCTACTAACACAAGCTCCTGGTCTTCTGTTAACATTACTAGGTTAGGTTTTGGATCAACTGTTAGCATGTTGTGAGTTTGTTAGCATGCTTTTATGACTACTAACGATCTAATTTGTTTGGAGAGTCACTAAACTGAAGACTCCAAACCTCTGAACCATGACTTGAGATTCAGAATCAGTTATAACACACTCCTGTTGGAGTCTAATTTTAATACTAATAATAACTTGGTATTGTGGTCCTATTCTTACCTGTCTGTGTTTGTTCTTCCATAGGTTGAGCCCCTGAAGAACCACTCCTGTTCAGTCAAGGATCAGCTTTTTCAGATGGACACTGACAAACCAGCAGCGTTCTTTTTCAAAAGACATAAAATGGAAGAATAAACTCAAGATTGATAGAGCACAGTTCCCACTGTCCTCTTGTGTTCTCTGATCCGATCAGAGAAAGCCTCACCTGCTTTCAACCTCCCAGAGAAATAGAAAAGGACAAAAAGGGCGATTTGTCATCTACCGGTTCTTTTTCCTCTCTCAGGACAAAATTTCTCCATTTACCTCAGGGATATTTTTCCCCATTGCCTACCTCCTCCATCAAAACAGCCAACAGTGAGTGGAACACGGTTCAGAAACTCACCTGCGACCTCCCGATGCTGTTACCAGGACAACCTTTATTGCCTCTCAAGCTCTCTGCACTGTAACTGTGACAGCCAGCAATGACCTTGGACCTCTTACCACCTGCCAGTGCAGAGGTGCTCATTGCCTAAAGTATACTGATCCTCACTTGTAGCCTGGACTGTGAGCCATTACTGGAAGGAAAAGGGTCATATTGCCACAAAAACAGCTACACATTCACAAGAGCTTCACTCATTTGTATAATATACTGTACATGGCAGGCAACTATATACCTCAGTAGCCAGGGCCCCTTAATCAAGGGCACAGAAGGGAACCTTTCTGCGACAGCATTCATTAGCCTGGTGCTTCAGTCTGCCTAGTAGACTTACTCCAACATCTTGCAATTGCCTTAGAGGAAGGGGTATAACAACAGTAGCCAGGGAAGCCTTTAGAGAATCAGAGAGCAAGAGTCAGGGCTACCACCTGGCAGGCAACTTCACTTCTTTTGCATCTCCGAAAAGTCACATCATACAGGAGCCTAACAATCTAGGCAGTAGCATAAATCAGTAATCGCCCAAGAGGTCTTCAGAGATCACAGACAAGACTGAGATGTTCCCCCTGCCTTGAGTTTCCACTTCACTTCTCGTGAAGTAAAACTACCCACAGAACAGGAGAAGTGTTTTTTGGAGCCTCGTCAGGTTTTTCTTTCTCTGGAGCCAAGCCACAAAGAATAAAGAGCACTGTGGCAGATTTAACTCAGAACTGTAAACTCTGTAAAGTACAAAGAGTAAACACTGAGAAGATTCATACTGTGTGACGGTGAAGAGAAGAGGAGGGAGAAAAGCATTACAAGTAAAGAGAAGAATGTAGTGGTGAGTCCTCTTTCTTATTATCTGTGCTTGTTTACCAACATGCTTTCTTCTGATTGTTCTCCTTGGTAACAGGAGGCTCTGCAGACTCCAATGTAAAGAATATCTCAGCAAGATAGCAGGGAGAAGATCTGCGTGTTTTGTCACTTGCTCCCATCACTAATGAAAAGAAAAGCTACTTTTTGGTTTTATATCTTTCATTTCTTTGTGTCACCAACTGACATTTAAATGGCATTTCTGTCTTATTAGATGATACAGACAGGGGTATTAAGAGAGACAGAATGAGAATGAATGCTTCACAATAAAGGTCTAACTGGATTTGAACACTCCTGCAGTAATATACAGTCAGGGAAAAAATTATTTGAACCCCAGCTGACTTTGTAAGTTTGCCCACTAACAAAGAAATGATCAGTCTACAGTTTCAATGGTATGCAAAACGTGCTTTAGTACTTGGTGGCAAAACCTTTGTTGGCAATCACAGAGGTCAGATGTTTCTTGTAGTTGGCCACAAGGTTTGCACACATCTCAGGGGGGATTTTGACCCACTCCTCTTTGCAGATCCTCTCCAAGTCATTAATGTTTCGTGGCTGATGTTTGGCAACTCGAACCTTCAGCTCCCTCCACAGATTTT